TGTGAGATCCGACGTTGTTTGGGAAGGAGAACGAAACATTTTTTTTAGAAGGGCATGGAAACCTCCCCTACTAAACACGTTTTAAAAAACCCAAATTAGATAATATGTATCAGTAGTGGTGGGTTTGGACGGTTACACTTAGAAACAGTATTGCTTAAATAAAATATTATTTAAGGTCAAATATGTAAAGCTAAAATTAGTAGATTGTTAAATACTCTTATTTTATTTGTTATTATTTAAATAAATTGAATAACCTAAATTAAAAATTTTGGAATATAAATTAAATAACAACGCGACGGCCGATGTTCACCAGCGACAGGAGCAGGCGTACATTTTTAGAACATTCAAATTAAGAATGCTCACTCCACCAACTCCCTCCAAATCCCCTCACACGCAGCGAGCGATGCGAAATTGTTGAATCTCTCATCAAAATCAAGCTACAATCATGGATTGCAGCTCCAACGTGATCGAAAATTCTGAACCCAACTCATCGGAGGATCGAACGCCGGCCGTTCCAGTTCACTCGCCGCAACTCGCCGTCGCTTCTCTCGCTCTGTCTCAGTCAACGGCCAATTTTCTCGACCAAACCAAATTTTCTGGGTTGTTTTCTCGGCGGCCTAAGAGGGATGAAGTTCCCACTCAAGCTTTTTCGCTTTCTCGCTTACCCATTTCCTGTTCTTCTCTCTGCCCCCCAAAAATCTCTCTCAAATCCACCATTTCTGCGAATCCACTTCAAATCCCTTTTTCTTTAGTCCCTCGCCGTCCCTCACAGCCCTCCAATGGCGCCGGATTTCGTCGAGCTACCATCGTTTGGTTCCGTAACGATCTACGGCTCCACGATAACGAATGCCTAAACTCCGCTAATAACGATTCCATGTCCGTCTTGCCTGTTTACTGTTTCGATCCGAGAGATTACGGTAAATCGTCGTCAGCCACGTTTGTGATTGAATCGGTCTCGGATTTGCGGAAGAATCTCCAGGCGAAGGGCTCTAATCTTGTTGTTCGAATTGGGAAACCTGAAACTGTTCTTGTTGAATTGGCTAAGGAAATTGGGGCTGATGCAGTGTATGCCCATTACGAGGTTTTGCAGGACGAAATGGAGACGGAGGAGAGGGTTGAGTGTGCGATGAAGGAAGAGAATGTTGAGGTGAAGTACTTTTGGGGAAGCACTTTGTATCATATTGATGATATTCCGTTTAAAATAGAGGATATGCCGTCGAGCCATGATGAATTTAAAGAGCAAATTCAAGGATTAAGTGTGAGGAAGATGATTGAAGGTTTGGATAAGATGAAGGGGTTGCCTTCTCGTGGTGATGTTGAGCCAGGGGACATTCCTTCTTTGTCTGATTTGAATCTCAATCAACCTGTGGCTATGTCTAAGGTTTGTTCTTGTTCTTGTTCTTGTTGTTCATAGCTGCTTGAATGTCGTTTTGTTTTGGGATTGTTGTGCTGTTTTGTTCATTTGGGTAATCTTGTTACTGGCAGGAGAAGTTGATTCAATAATGCTTGATGATTTAATAGTTGATCTTTGATTTCAACCCGGAAGTTCATGGTTGGTGAAATGAGAAGAACATTAGATAAACTCATTTAGTATCTTATTTTTTACTCAAAATGTTACATTGTGATTGTCTTTCTGGGGTTCGTTTGGCATTTAGTTGCATCATGATTGACCTTCCACTGTGCTGTTTGGGCTATGGTTTCTTGGTTGGGAGTAGGTACAACTTTTGAATTGTGTAATAGGCATTCGATCCCACCTCAGTTAGAGAGGGGAATGAAACATTTTTCATAAGGGTGTGGAAACCTCTCCTTAGTAGACGCGTTTTAAAACTGTGAGGTTGATGACGATACGTAACGGGCCAAATCACACATTGTCTACTAGTGGTGGGCTTGAGCTGTTACATATGGTGTTAGAGCTAGACGTCGGGTGGTGTCCCACCGAGGACGCTGGACCCCCAAGGAGGGTGGATTGTGAGATCTCACCTCGGTTGGGGAGGGGAACAAGCATTCCTTATAAGGGTGTAAAAACCTCTCCCTAGTAGATGTGTTCTAAAACCGTGAGGCTGACAGCGATATGTAACGGACCAAAGTGGACAATATCTATTAGTAGTGGGTTTGTGCGGTTACAAATGGTATTCCAGTGGTTGAACAGCTTTAGAGTTCATGATTGGGAATAAATGATGAGAGTATTCTTGAAATATCTCAACATTGTTAACTTCTTCATATAGGAAGGATGGCTAGCTCCTAATACTCCTCAAGTGGGAGGGGAGACTGAAGCACTTCATAGGCTTAAAACATATGCAGCTGAGTGCCGAGCCCAACGACCGAACACGACCAACAACAGTGCTCAAAATAGCATATATGGTGCTACCTTTTCAAACAAAATCTCTCCATGGCTAACCACGGGTTGCATTTCACCTCGCTCGGTGGTCGACGAGTTAAACAAAACTGTTTCCAGGTGCACATCCCCCACCTGTTTCATCTTCCTTTTGAGGCACAATAGTTGTTGAGAAAATCTTCTTATGTGTGGTAACAGGAAGAATGATGGTGGCTATGACACTGGAACAAACTGGGTGATGTTTGAGTTGTTATGGAGGGACTTCTTCAGGTAAGGCCCAAGTTTATGCATCTAAATCTGTACATTTCTGTGTTGAAAGCTGATCAGTTGGTGTGAGCTAATGAGCAATCCTTGTGGTTTTATTCTTGAAACACTATATTAATGCACACCCAATTGTTGATCTATTGCAGATTCATTACCAAGAAATGCAATTCAACAAAGAAACGACAGCCTAATCCTTCTCCAGCCACGGCTTCCATGACCGCCCTTGCTTAGGGAGAGTTCAAAAGAGCAGACATATCTCATGTTGTAGTGTCATTTCTTGATCCTTCCAATTACCCCTACATTGCTTTTGTAAATGTTGTCTTTGATATACCAGCTGCACGCCTGCCTTGACCCTTGTCCCGTTTGCTTAGAAGACCGCGCCTAGTGTCACGTTCCAAATCCTTTTTTTACATGTTTTCATCTTAGGTAGGCCTTTACTATTTCATATTGTGTCAATATGGAGGTGTATTACCGTTCACTAAAATAATGTCTACACCCGTTAGGGCTAAAATGTCCAAAGTGTACTATAAGGGGATATGGCTAATTGTCACTTTTTCTACCCGGATTATACGCAATCACATCTGTTGTTGTTGCCTACTCGTTTTTAGCTTATAACATTTTTTTTTTCAAATTGTTTTCAACATATTTTATTGCTAATGTTTCCAAAACATTTATCTCAAACGTTGTTCGTGAAGTCTGAATTTCTCACGGTTGATTTGATTTTTGGGTTAGAATAAGTGTTGTACAAGTGTTGTCTCGTCGTCGGATCACATAACGTCTTCAAAAGTTGAATATTCACATTTTTTTAATTTCTATTTTTCTTGTACAAACTCAAATGATCAATTTTATCTCAAACTAGGAATGAGAAAAGAACATGAAGACAAGGAACTATGTGATGAAAGATCGAGCTTGAATCTTCATGCAAATCGTACCATATGAGCTTGAATTTCAAACCAAGATCTATGAGTTTACGTAGTTGTCACAGTGATCAAAGGGCTTCTAAAATAAAAAGGAGGCCATGTAATTTGAGGGGCGATTGCAGAATGCAAAACATGAATGAATATTCAGAGGACTTTGTCCCACATCGGTTAGTTCCACAAAATGGAGAGAGGAGGAGGCTATAAAAACGCTGGTGGAATGCGGGTCATATCATACCTTTCTCGGCCTTTTGGCTAAGATCAAGTGTAGTATCTGTTCTTATCAGTTTAATATCTGATACGCGGGCCATCGGCCCACATGATATTAAATTAATTTTTCAAGGGGGAGGGTCCACTACAGTAGCTTGCTATTGGGGCTCTCGAGCGTCGCCCATGCGTTGCACTATAGCTTGGGCCTGGCGCACCCCTCCATACCTGAAGCCCAAAAGTTTGAACTCAACTAAATAATTTTCGTCGTCTAAATTTAATTTTATTATATGATAAATTCTGAATCAGGCATTTACACCATTTAATTTAGGACTAGTTTCGATAAGAGCTTATTACAATTACGAATTGAAATGGTCTCCATCTAAATTTAGGCTTTAACTTTATATATATATATAAAAAAAAACTATAATTTAACAACCTAATTAAGGAACGTGAGGTTAAGCTAGGCTTAAACTTTATATTAAAAAAAAAAAAAACTATAATTTAACAAACATTCATAGACAAAAATTAAGGAATGTTTATGTATGTTTAATTAAGGAATGTTTATGTGAGGTTAAGGAGGAGAGTTAAGGAATGTTTATGTGAGGTTAAGGAGGAGAACTCATATGTCTAATTAAGGAAGTTTATGTGACTAATTAAGGAAGTTTATGTGACTAATTAAGGAAGTTTATGTGAGGTGGAAGTTTATATGAGGTTAAGGAGAACTCAATGTGAGGGTAAGGAACTCATATGTCTAATTAGGATGGTTTATGTGAGGTTAAGGAGGAGAATAGAGAATAGAGGTTAAGGAGAACAAACAGTCCCACATTGATTAAGAAGGATCACACATTAATTAAGAAACGTTTGATTAAGAAGGATCACACATTAATTAAGAAACGTTTATGTGAGGTTAAGGAGGAGAACAGTTTATGTGAGGTTAAGGAGGAGAACAAAACAATCGTTTATGTGATCCCACAATGGTTAAGGAGGAGAACAAAACACCCGTTTTCCTTAAGCCCTGAGGAGAAGCCCGGAAACACTCAAAAAGGACAAATACCTATTAGCGGTGTGGGGTTTGGGCGGTTACAATTTATGAGTAGAGTTTAATCTCTAAATTTCTACCGTATTCTAAGTGTTTGAATGGTTAAAATGATTTTTTTTAATTGATTGGGTTAATAATGGGAAAATTTTAAGAAATACATTTTTAAACAGATAATTAAAAGTGAAAAAAGACAGAAATAGAAGCAAAGAAGAGTATATCTTCAAACCAACCAACAGAAGGGAACTACGCGATCAAAATTTATAGATATTGAGACTTCAGAATTAAACAAGAGTTGCATTATCTCTAATATAACTCAATTCAAGGCGAGGTATGGAAATATAATTTCAACAACCTTCAAAATGAGAAAGGCCGCTACAACTAGTCAATTTGTAAGACTTGAGCCTCAGTCTTCTTCCTCGCCCTCGTTCTCGGCAATGTTGAAGTACCTCAATTCATAGACGTTGCGGTCCTTGTTCGAAGCAATAACCCGAAGCCAATCTCTGACGTTGTGCTTCTTCAAATACTTCTTAGTCAAGTACTTAAGATACCTGGGATTCAAAAGAGAGAACAATCAGTGAAGTTCGATAGGAGTTTACAGGCCTGGCTTATTTTGAAACAAAACAATCATGAACTTTAAGAGTGACGATCACCTTCTTTCAAAACTTGTACATATAATTCTAAGATCAATCCTTAATAAAAAGAGAATGGATACGTACAGTGTTACAACTACAATAGGTGACTAATTAGAAAACGCATTACCCATACAATTAGATCAGAGGTGTATCCAAAGAAAATTCCACTAATAAAGACATAGTGGTAATCCACCTCGTATCACAGAGAAACCATACCTAAAGACTATAGATTTAGAGACTACACAGACGAGAAATTAAAAATGACCCAGAAATCCCTCGAAATCTCAATTTCAATATCAACAGGACGAGTAGGAAGAACTAGTATGAGATAACGAGTACTTCTTAAAGAAGTAGCTTTCCCGTGTACACTAGATAATGGCTGAAATTTCAAGATTAATTCGTACAATAAACCCCAATAATTTTCATCAATTCCACAATTCAATACTATATGTGACAAATTTCCAACAAAATCACAGTAGACAACGATCAATCCGCAAAACGTTTGTAGTCTGAGTACTGCCGCTGCAGCTAACGCATCAATCCGACGCTTATTCCCAAACATTCAAGAAATGCACGGACGATAATCATCCAAAACCATATACATCGTCTCAAATCCAGAATAATACAAGAATTAACAAATACAAAACACTGGGTACCTCTTAGAGAAGTTGCTATCGGAGTTGACGGTGATCTTGTTTTTGTCCCGTGTGACGGTGACAGCGTCACCAAGTGCCCCAGCTTTGCCGCCGACCTTGATCCTCTCGAGAAGAAACTTCTCCAATGAGGCGATGTCCATAATCTTGTCCTCGACTGGCTTCGCACAATCGATAACGAAGGTCACGCCCTTCTTCTTCCCCTTCGGGCAACCGGATGCGGCTGCTCCACGGCTCATTTTTGCTTCTGCTCTGTGCAGCTTGGCGCCCTAACTTCCTCAAGACGTATAGAACAAACGGCGCTCAATTTAGGGTTTTGAGTAGCTTAAAAGCACGAAGGACTACGAAGAAAGGCTATATAAGCATAAATGGCCCATTTTAATTCGAATTTGTAAAAATAGCCTCATTTTTCAATAATCCAAATTAATTTTATATTGTAAAACTAATCCATTAAGAAATGTGGATTTATTTTTATTATTATAAACAAATTTTGCTGCGTACGACTCCCGAAGGAACTTGAGAACTGAAAGATGGAAGACGAGCTCAACGGCGTCGTTCCATGTTCTTCCCTCGCCGTCGAATCCACCATTCGCGTCGGAACAGTGAACTTCACGAACAATTTCTTGAACTATGATTCGTTTTCTACAACTTCTCCATCTGAATCGCTTTTCCCTGCTCGTGTTCAGGCCGGCGCTCTATGGGGCTTGTGTATGGGTCCGTACAATTCTCGTAAAAATGGTAATCCGAAGCACAAATTTCGACAATATATTTTATTCCTTTGATTCTTCTATTGCAATTTCTCTTCTTCATTTCATTCTTTTTCTCTCTTACAGGCCTCAGATGGTAGCATTGTGGCGTTTGACCGATTTGAAAGTGTCTTTGTGGTCTATTTTTCAGGCAAAGTCTGTTGGAAAATACGGCTTTCAATGTGGTAATGGTGATTGTCATAGCGTTTTGGCCTTTATAGATTGTTGAGCTGTGTTTGTGGCTGATTTTTTTTGATTTTGTTCTGGTCGAAGAAGTAGCTAAAGATATTGGGTTATAGGACTTGTTGCTGCAACTTTTACTCTGACTCACTGTGGGATTCAAAGATATAGAAGGAAGAATGATTGGGTTAGTTACACTCATGAAATGATTCGTTTTCACACATTTTCCTTTGTTTGAATGTGATCCACTGTCAAGGTTGCCACGTAACAGGCAGCGGCCATGGACAACACACCTTGGACAAGCATGACCATGACATCTAGCTACATTCCCAGAACTTGACTCAATTTCTATTGAATGCTTTGTGTATCTAGATACTACAGGTTATCTAATATATATATATATACATACACACACACAACTTATGATAAGCACATATGGATTTGTATTATACCTGCACCCTAATTATGGCATGAGCCACATTTTGCAGCTACTTTCAAAATATTTATTTGGGTATCTCTTAAATTTTAACGGGATTTTGAGTGAAGGTTGTCTAGGTTGACCAGGAATGGCTCAATTCTTACCACCTGAGTATTTTTTGAGGGAAAAAAAAATGGGTGAGTGGATATATAAACGACACTAGCAAGGATTTGGATGATATCATTTAACCGGAGAGGAACAATCTCCCCTTTTAACAGTTTATCATGTTATATGTGTCTTAAAGCTTTTTTTAGTAGTTTTATTGTTATTCGTCCTTACTTTTGGTAACATAAAAGTTAAGGTCGATGAAATACACATTTAAAAACTCATGTAGAAATCCCGAGTCATTTATGTGACGAGCTTTCTCCAATTCTGTTGCAATTGTGGCTGAAGAAAGAAATACCTTTTAACTTGTAACTATTAGTGTTGTCTCTTGGTAGATGAAACCTCACAAGTCATAACTGTCTCTTGAATTCGACAACCATTTATGTAGACTTATATTTACATTGAGAATTTATTGTGCCTTAATATATCTTGTTTAAAAGAAAAGTATAGTTGCTGCTTAATATGTTGAGACTTGCCGTATCATACTAGAACTGTTTCCTGTTCTAAAAAAATACATGGAGACTTACAGTTTTCTTTGGCGTGCCGAGAGGAGGTTCGATACTTGCGGGGTTTTATGTCTGGTCATGGGTGTTCGTGTCTTTAGAGTCTTGAAGATTATCCATTAGGCCTGTACTCTTTTGGATTGGAGCTTTTCTTGTAGGTTAGGTTCTGGTTGGCATCCTTTTTTGGGCAGCCGTTTTTATAGGCCCGTCTTATGTTGGTACATGCATTTGTTTGGCATTTTTTTGCCTCATTTTCTCTGGATGAAGGTTCGGGTTTCCTGATTAAAGAAGTTTTGGCCCTTAGTTGTTGCATATCTTATATTCAACACCTATTGCTTGGCTTACAAGTATTGGGATATGAGATATGCAGTATCTTTTTGGGCATGTATGTTTGCTAAACAGGTGATTTTTTGCTTCCATTTTGACTATCATATTTCGAACGATTATGATGCCAGAAATACTAACTATTTAGACACTATGTTAAGAGAAACTTTTGGAAATGAATCTTTATATCTCTTTTGTGTTTTGTTTTCCCCCCCATTTGGCAGCTAAACGGAACGATTGTGGGTGCGGTCGCGGAGCTGCAATTGCTACAAGGACTAGAAGAAGTTGGTTGCAGGTTGTTGGGATGGATGCCCTTGTCTCTGCCTTCAGTGCTGCAGCTGAATATTCAAGATCACGTTAGAATACCTCTTGTGGGAAGAACAAAACAATGAGGTATTCACCATTCAATCCATTTCCATTACTTGTGAATGATATGCTGCAGCAAATGTTGGTCCTGTATCGGTTGAAGGAGGGACCGGAACCTCATTACGTCGATTCCACTCAATTCTTCACAATTGCAGCGAACTTCTGGTGAGTTTAAAGCTGTAAATGATGGAAAAGCCGTGTACCAGCTCTCTAGTGGCCTACAATTTCAGTGACTGCTCTAGTTAAAAGATGAAAACATTCAAATATCTTGTATGATTGAGGATATTTTACCTTTCATTACGGTTTACTATAAGCATCACATTTGACATTTTTTTATAAACAAATATCTGGTGTGATATTTAGCCTTTCGTTACGATTTACCATAAGGTATCACGACTTTCTTATTTATAAAAAGGCAGGTGGAGGAACCAAATTGTAACCATATGTAAACCTTCATCGTAAAATTCAAATACCCAAATGCAACCTAACTCGATCGAAAGTAAGTTTTTTTTCAAAGAAATCAAATTAGACATTACCTGAATAACATGAAGTGAACAAGTAAATAAAAATGGAGTAACAAGAGAAGGTGAACAAAATGTTAATATTAATTAAAAAAAATGATTCATACCCACTTACACATATGAGAATTAAACATTAACGATGTTCAAATGAAATTTTAACAACATATATAATTGATTTATCATGCTATAATTAAGAGTATAAACTAAATTTTCTTAGTTAAGTACGTGGGAGTTTAAAGATTTTGAATCTTTTAATTGAAAATATATGTAAAGTTATACACAAAATTAATAACAATGGTTGGAAACTATGCAAATTTTCTATACATAAGGCTTTGTCCCACATCGATTAGTTCCAGAAAATGGAGAGAGAAGGAGGCTATAAAAACACTGTTGGAAGGCTGGACAATTCATACCTTTCTCGGCCTTTTGGCTAAGATCAAGTGTAGTATCTGTTCTTATCAGTTTAATATCTGATACGTGGGCCATCGGCCCACATGATATTAAATTAATTTTTCAAGGGGGTGGGTCCACTACAGTAGCTTGCTACTGGGGCCCTCGAGCGTCGCCCATGCGTTGCACTACAGTTGGGCCTGGCGCACCCCTCCAATATATAAGCCCAATATTTATTCGTATATAGTTATATAACATTAATCTCATTTATTTCTTTTTAGGGTAGGAATACATTTTGTATTTATATTTAATCTTTAATGGGTACCGTCATCTCTTACTGTTTTGGGGCAGTTCGGAAGCCCGAGGCAGCCAGTTTGGAAATCAAGGCGAGTGCATTACTTGTAATATAACCAGCCTTCACCACGCCAGTCCTTATCAAATTCACTACTTTTCCACTTTTCCCTCGAAATCCATCCACGCAAGTATCTTCATTGGTCAGCGCTGCGCTAACCCACGTAGTGAGATCTCCCATTTGGGCGTCCAAATTCCTCTTACCCAGTCTTCTAAGAACCCCAAGCGACCTGTGGAGCTCAGCAATGGCGGCTTCGCAGACCTCCACACAGTCGGAAACTGCGGCCCTGTTTCTCCCCATGAGCCGCTTGCCGTTCTTCACCCTCCCCAGGAATCGCGCCACGGTTTTAGCCTCTGATATTGTCACCGACACGCCCGCTTGCGCCCATTTCGTGGGGCTTCGCTTGGCGCTGCTTGAAAATGGCGACAGCGATTGGATACAGAGATCTTGGTGTTGTGTTACGCTGCAGGCTTCTTGGACATAGCTCATTTTGGCGGAGTGTGTCGGCCATGGGAGAATAGAGATGAGGGCAAAAATGATTGCGATTGATGCTCTCGAACTGGGTGCACGCAACATGTTCGATGAAATGTCCGAAAGAAGTAGAGAGTTGGAGAGGTGGAAAAGGGGTGCGGAAATGGAAACTACCTTTCTATAATATCAGCACACTTTTGTGATTTGTGAATAAGATTTTTAAATTAATGGGAGAATTAATGAGTTTTGGGGGTGGATTATATAGTGGGGAAAAGGGTCTTGTTCATGTTATCATGAACTTTGGAATAAAGAAAATCTAGGACAGTTTGGTATCTGTGTTACCAGAATTTACCATACATCTTTGACTTATAGATCATGGAACTTCTGTACATGGATTGGACTTCTAACCAAAAACAAGTTCAGAAGGGGGAAAATTGTTCAATTTACTATGGGAAAACAAAAATTTACCCGACTTATTTGGTTTCAGCAGTAAAAACATGTCTTCTTCGTTGAAATTTCAGAGCTTAAACGGGTTGGTCCAAGCTCGAGTTGAGGCTAGAAAGAAGCTCAATTAGTACGAAGCAAAGAGGCACTTGAAATCATGTGACACGAACGTTATGAAGGGAATTTCTAGTACTGCGAGGATATGGATATACTTCAATATTATGTGGAATAGAAACTCCATTATTTTTTAACTATAAATTTTCATACTGGGTAAAGATTAAAGGTCACTCTCAAATTTTATTTAATATTTAAAAATTAGGGTCTAAAATAGAATATTTAAAAGTTAGGGGTCTGATGTGGAATATGTACACAATCGAGGGGGTTGGGTGCAAAAAGGGGATAAATATGCGTATTTTATTTTAGAAAAGGATTGCCACATGGCACATATTATGTGTAGTTAGTAACATCCAGCAAATTACTGTGCAACGCGATGCAGAATATCATAACCGTACTATATATTTACTCGCGCTACCAATCTTCGATTTCAAAGCCCTAATATTCAGTCCTCTCGCCTCTGCGCTTTGTCACCTACAGATCGGATTCGAGGTAACCTAAAATCAAACGTCGAATCTTGATTAATTAATTTGAGTACAAAACATTCTACGAGTTTAATATTGTACGGTGATTAGATTTCATAGTTTCTGTTTCTATGTTCTCCGTTTCTCGTTAGTTATAATCGGTAATGTTATCCATATCTACGTTTCATCTGTTTAGGGAAAATGAGCAGCCGTGCCAGCAGAACAGTCTATGTTGGCAATCTCCCGGGTGATATTCGTGAAAAAGAAGTGGAAGATTTATTTTACAAGGTATGTTTTCTTAATTTTGTTTGCGCATGACGTTTTGGCGCCTGTGTGGAGCGCTTAAACCATGTAATTGTCTGTCATTTTGGTGCTGCATGTTATGGATGGTGAATTTTCTTTATTGAGTCGACTGTAAATTGTTCTTATTTAAGTAGGGGTGCAAGCGTAGAACGCTAAGTATTTTGATTTCGATAATTGTGATGACCTTATAACTAATGCAGTGCTTACAAATGTAGGAGTAGTTCCACTTTTAAATTATAGACGTATGTTTAAATGCTAGACATCCTTCGAGAGTTAATTTGGGACTTGCTCGTACAATTTGAAAGTTCTCGGAGTTAATTATGTCTTTACCGTTAATGATCTTTTATAAATAATTTAACAAGCACCTAAATACGCGTGGAAATTTAGGGTCTGTTTGGAAGGTCAAAATTCCTAAGTGTAATGCTGTAAGTGACAAGTTTTGCACCGGCGGTAGATACTAAGGACCATCTCTAGAGACTTTTTTTTGGTGTTGCCGACACGTAATAGAGGGTGGTGTTCCATGATTTAAGAGGTGCACCTGAACCCTCCTTTTATGACAGAGCAATGATCCCATAGCGAACTTGTTTTTTCGCCATTATGTTGTCATTTAGCTTGAGAGGAATAGCAAAATCTTTCGACAGGTAGAAAGGTGGGAGGCGATTCTATATAATTCCTTTTAGTGGTTCGTTGATTGAGCCTTTTGTTATTTTCAAATGGCATCACTCTCTTGGAGTAAATTTTGTTCGTGGATTTGTTTTTTTTTTTTTTCTTTCTTTTTTGTATACCCTTGTATATTCTGTCATTTATCACAATCAAAACTCAGTTTCTTATAAAAAATATAATTAGATGTATATTGTGTGATTTTTATTTCTTAAAGGTTCAAGATGATCTGAGACGGAATTAAAATAATTTTGGAGTTTTATTTGGTCAAAGTATTTAATTTAAGTCTGGTCTCTCTTGGCATTTAATTGTAGTATGGTCGCATAGCCCACATTGATCTCAAGGTTCCACCAAGGCCTCCTGGTTATGCATTTGTTGAGGTGGGTTTTTTTTTCACATGTGGTGGTACTATATATTCTCTTTCTTTTCTAACACATTACTTATGTTATCAATATGGATTGAGTGAATGTAGTTCGAAGATGCGGAAGATGCTCAAGATGCAATTAGTGGTCGCGATGGCTATGATTTTGATGGCCATAGGTTGCGCGTGAGTCACTAAGTCTTTTTCAATTGTTGCAAAAATTGATTGTTTTGTACTTGATTGCTTTATAGTTGTAGTTTATGCATTGTTTGTTTGTATTTTTAGGTGGAACTTGCTCATGGTGGTCGTGGTCATTCATCATCTAGTGATCGTTATAGTAGTCATGGAAGCAGCCGAGGTGGGCGTGGAGTATCTCGACGTTCTGATTTTCGTGGTATATGACCATTTCTGTGATGCACCGTATAATGTTTTGACATTGTAAATACTGGATGTTGTAATATATGTTTTTCTGTCAATGTAGTATTAGTCACAGGATTACCTTCTTCTGCTTCGTGGCAAGACTTGAAGGTAAGCATCATTCTATTTGGCATGTAATTTATGTGCCTGTCACTCAAAATTTTTTAATCAACACTGATCTCATATTATCTAATGTTGAAGGATCACATGCGGCGAGCTGGGGATGTTTGTTTCTCCCAAGTGTTCCGTGATGGTAGTGGTAAGATACCTACTGATGAAGCTGACTTCGAATTCTCTCTAACATGACATTGAAAACTAAATAGCTATTCATTTCAATGTCCTGTAGGAACCACAGGGATTGTGGATTACACCAACTATGATGACATGAAGTATGCAGTAAGTCAATTTTATCTCTGTTCTAAGAATTTTGGAATGTTGAGCCTTAATGATCACCTGGCATACTGGATTGCCCCTATGACTTCAAGAGCTTAAGCTTTGGTTTTGTGATATGCTAAGATATGTGTACTTGTCACTGCAGATTAAAAAACTGGATGACTCTGAGTTCCGTAATGCATTTTCCCGGTCTTATGTTCGTGTATGAACAATGCCTTCTTGATCTATAATTTTTATTTTTATTTTTTTATGATTGCCTTCTTGTCTCTCACCTATTTTAATTTTAATTTTGTAGGTGAGGGAATATGATTCAAAGAGAGATTCATCCAAGAGTCCTAGTCGTGGGCGGTCATACTCTAGAGGGCGGAGTTATAGTCGCAGTCGCAGTAGAGGTCGAAGTAGGAGCAAGAGTCGCAGTAGGAGGTAGGTATATGTTTTACTATTAAATTAGTCTTAGCACAATCCTGTCTTGAATTAAATATTTTATCAACTTTTTGAGCAGCAAGTCTCCTAAGGGTAAATCTTCCCAGCGGTCACCTGTAAAATCCCGATCAAGGTCTGCTTCCCCTGCTCGTTCACGATCAAAGTCATCATCTCTTTCAGGGTATGTTTTCTCATTTTATTAACTATAATCATTCATTCTTATGTTCTTTAATTTTATTTTATTCACTTTTATTATTATTATCTTTTAATAAAATCTAACTGCGGCCTGCTCATTGTTTATCTATATTTATATATTTGAGTTTGTTGTCACTCGAGCAGGATTTGTTTTTTGCACCCGTCTATCATTGGGCAGAATGTTAGACTGGGTCAAATAGACAACATTAATGTACTGAAAGTGAACTAATTCTTTTGTATTGCTCAAGCACGGGCCAGCAAGTGGTTTTAAGTTTAGCAATGGATTTGATATTACCTTTCTGGATGCTATGTGTTTGCATGCGGTATTGTGGCTTGTACAATTCTCTTGAATGTGAAACCCACCCTTCCCAAGTCTTGGATGCATTCTTGGAATGGTGGAGATGAGTACTGGACAGACTTCAAATTAGTCTGGGCAATGTGTCGGCCCTCTATTGGAATGTTGGGTAAACTTTATCTATTTGACTCAATTTAGTTATTACTATTTTACATCTGATTCTGCTTTCTTTTTAATAACTCTTCGTCCTCGTCCTTCCCCTTTATCAATTGTGACTGTTTTTCAACAGCTGGGATAGTTAAGAAATGAGTCGATTTCTTTCATTGTTGTCCTCTTTGTGTGTGAAAATCACTTGTTTGTTTTTTAGATATGGAAATATGCGGCATACTGGGGATTGGATATTAGGATCTTGATGGAATATGGTTCAATTGTCTTCAATGCTTTTGGTTGAGAAGGTATGCTGTTTTTTAGATGGGCAGCTTTGAAAACCTTCTGGTACCTCTATTCTAATGCTTTTAGCAATGCAATGTCCATGGGTGCTAGATTTGGATCCAAGAAGATCATGGATTGCAATAATAGAGCTGGATATCTTGAACTAAGTGCTATTTGGACTTGGAAGTCATCATCACTTTCATTTACATTTTCTGCTGCAAGATTTGCCAAGCTATAGGACGCACTATCTGGATTCATAATGGACCTTTTGAGGCACAGTAGGGAAGAATGCTCCTCTCCCGTCCACTGACTTCCATAATATATAGTTTCCTGGAGAATAAAGTTTTCTAATTTTTTAGGTCTTCGCAGTTGGATCTTTAAGTTTTGAATTGCCATATCTTCTTCATAGTTGAACTACTAAAATACTATTTTCCTTTCTCTCCTTATACAATGTGGATGAGTCGTTAGGCTTTTGGCTCAATTTGGTAAAAGAGACATGGATTTTAAATTTGGGTTGTTTCTGAACCTTTTGCAGATCGCGATCAAGATCCAGGTCTCCGGCACCCAATGTAAGTGATCCCTGTTATGAACTTGTCATTGCTGGACGTGGTATTAGAAGTTTAAACTAAACTTGCATCTCCTTTGCCCTTTGATTTAACTGATATGTCTTTCGTGTCTGTCTGTGTATGAATACGGTTTACGTGGCAGCGTGAGAAACGTACTAGTAAAAGTCCAAAAAGGCGTGAAGCAAGCAAAAGCCCTAGCAGGAGCAGGAGCAGGAGCAGGAGCCGAAGCAAGAGCAAGAGCAAGAGTCCTTCCCGGTAAAGCTTTCTCTTATTTTGTTTTGAAATTTCTGCTGCTTTACTGGGACACTGTAAATGCCCATTCATTTGCATACGTCCTATTAAGAATAATGGTGTAATTTAGCTGGAACATTTTGTGGCGGAATTGTTCTGACATTGAGTCAATTGTTTGAACAGATGAAGAAGATGGAGGCAGCTGTTGATTTCCGTAGCCATGGAGTGAAGCTGGAATAAGAGTATTAATCTGTGAACTTATCTGGAATAGACTTTCCTTAAACTTGATAGTATCTATGTTTTGTTTGGACTCTTCATGTGTGCTATTCTTTTTAGGATATTCTCAGGTTGGAGACGCTTCTAATGTTCCCCAAATTCACATTTTTCATATTGCTACCTCAAATTAAAACAGTACTCTTCATCAGCACCTTTAAAAACAAATATTAAAGTCAATTAACTGTTCATATATACAATTAATGGTCGTAAAAAAATAATTAATTTTGGGTCAGTTTTGGTTGTTTCTGCGTCTTTTGTCCCGAGTGGTATTGATATTTAAGATGTCATTTTGTACTCGATTTTTCAAGTATTGAATATCGACGTTTGAATTTAAGTAATTGTTCTGTATTGAGTTTTAAATGTAATGAACGAAGTTGAGATAAAATTCAAATCAAAATCAATATGAACAATTAATTAATTTTCTCAAAACAGTGCGAGAATCAATAAAATATATATATATATATATATATATATATATATATATATAATTAATAACGAATTCATTATCAGCTGCTTCATTATTATTATTATTAATTTCTATGGATATAGTTTAAATAATTTACAAAGAAATATTTATTAAAGAAAAAGGAAAAAAGAAAAAAAGGGGAAGAAAAATGCATTTATTTTATTTACAGTGGAGAACAAGAAGCAGCTTACCTGGAGTTTTTGATTGTTTCAGGCGCCAGTTTTAGGCTTCACTATTGTGACAGTGCATGGAGCATTATGCGCGCAATAATCACTTACACTCCCTAACAACGCCCTGCACATTATCCCCTCTTTACCTTCCTACTACTTTTTACTTCAAATTAAAAAAATGTTTAATGAAAAATATCTAATAAAATCATAAATCATTTAACGAATTTATTGAACACAAAATTAAAATTTTTATTTCATAACATACTAAACTTCCAATTATATATAAAAATAGTTAAATAAGGTAGGAAGTTACTAGATATAGATGTATACTTGTAATTTAATTAAAAACGAAAAGCTTTGCCGCTACCCTAATTTAAACATATAATTAAAAAAAAAGACGATTCATTTTTTAAAATGACAGCGATAAAATTGATAACACACAGAAATTAAAAACTATGTAATTAATAAAGCAAGTACCTCTTAATGGCTCCATAGCCATGGCTTCCCACCACCAGCATTGAAGCATTGTGCTCACTAACCGCCTTGCACAGTACATACCTAGCATCTCCTTCTTCCACCTCAAACTTCACTTCACTCACCTGTAATTTAAATTCGATTCAATTCAATCAAATTTCCGTCCGTATTCATGGATTTGACAGATCGACGATTACCGATTTAGCGGCGCAGATCTCTCTCGCTTTCTCGATGATTCTGGCGGCCTTTCTCTTCAAATTCTGATCCAAAACTTGGTACAGTCCAGGTTCCGATCCAAAAACCACTGATTACATATAATTTCTCAATTATTTACATTCGAACATGAAATTAAGGAATTAGCCAGATCAGATGAGGAGGAGGATGATCGATCTTACTTCCCGGTCCGGCGACTCCGACGAAGGTTTCGGGAATCGGTTTGGCGTGGACAACGATGATCTTGAAAGGAGGAGGATATATGGCTGAAGAGAAGTGATCTAGTGTCCACTCCAGAGCGGCGATTGCATATTCACTGTCGTCGATGCCGATCACCATCACTGGCTTCTCCGTCGCCGCCATTGGAGAGATTCCTCTGTGAAGCGGTTTGAATTGGGGAGGAAGAAGAAGAAAATGAGCTATTTTATTTTTTAATTTTGTTTTTAAAGGTGAAATTGTCTACGTGGCAGGTCTTGTCAGCATGCAGCAATCCGTGAAAACGAAAGAGCCTCTTACATGTCACCCAAATGCTGTGACACCTCTTCCCACGTGGCTACCAGCAATACAATGGCACCTTTTCTGTGAGAAAATTTGTCGACCACCATCCTTCCATAATTTTTAGTGTGTGAGTATATGTAATACAAATTTTTTCTGTTATTTTATTTTTATTATGTTAAATTTGTCGGATGAATGTCATGGCGGGACAATACGAGAGTTTAGGACAATACGAGAGTCATGCCATAAACTTAGCTAGAGTGGACAGCATGAATTAGATGGACAATACGAGAGTCATGTCATAAATTTAGCATGTCATAAATTTAGCTAAAATGGACAATGTCCCATGAAAATCCTGCCATAAACTAGAATGAACAATGCCATAAACTTAGCTAAAGTGGACAAAATCAAAGTTTAAAAAAATGATTTTTGTGGACAAAATCAAAGTTTAAAAAAATGATTTTGAAAAAAAAATCGAGACTCGATTAAAGGTTAAGAAAAACAGAGTTGGGTGAAATTTGTTTGAGAAGAGGGTGTTATATAGGTAATATTCTTATAAAAATGTTGTAAACGAAAATGATTAAAACATGCTACAAATGTGAAAATGAGGGAAATTGTTTGAACTTTCAATTATGAAGTAACGATGACATATATAATTATTCATTTTTATTTTGTATGGTTCGCTAATTAAGCGAGATTTCCATTTAAAAAACTTAACCCAATGCTTTGTATGTCAATTACGAGAACAATGATTCTATAAACTAGAATTTTATTGGAAGGTAAATCGTACAAGTTTTGTTATTATTGTGACAGTTTACAACATTGGGCAAATATACATACATAATACATAACATAATAGAACAGCATTACTTGATTTAAAGAGAAAATAGTTCTTGATTTAAAGACTCGAAGAAAAGAAGGGGAATTGCAAAGTTGAGCTATTTTTGTTCTTTTGATTCAACCTTGGGGTTCAGCTTCTTGACGATCATGACGGTACATGAAGCTTGATGAGCACAATAGTCACTCACACTCCCCAAGAACGCCCTGCATTCATCCATTGAAACTAATCATGATTCAACGAGATTTTTTTTTTTTTTTTTTTTGAATCATTTGTTCTTTTCCCCCCTCTAAAATGCGCTTAAACCACGTACCTCTTCACAGCTCCATAGCCATGGCTTCCCACCACAAGCATTGAAGCCCTATGCTTATCCACCGCCTGACACAGTACATACCTAGCATCTCCTTCATCCACCTCGAATTTTGCATCATTCACCTGCATTTTTCATTTCGAAATTCCAATTCCATCAACTGGAACTGATGAACACGAGAAAATTCGAGATCAACAAATCGATTTCTATTCTCGTCATTCTATACATTCTCCGTATAGCGAGAATTCAAGATAAAAAATCGATTTCTATTCTCATCCTTCTTTTCAATCTCCGTACAGAGAGAACTCGAGATCAAAAGATCGATCTCTGTTCTCATCCTTCTCTTCACTCTCCGTACAGATTCCCAAAAGTCTAAATCGGTTTCGACTTTCCTCAGATGAAGAAAATTATTTACAATCAAAACTCAACCATTCCAGACTCCAACAATTTATATCATAATCAAGCAATTTTACTCGATTCTGTTACCGATTTGGATTCACAGTTCTCCTTACGGAGAGAATTCGAGATCAAAAAATCGATCTCTGTTCTCATCTTTCTCTTCACTCTCCGTACAGATTCCCAAAAGTCTAAATCGGTTTCAACTTTCTTCAGATGAACAAAATGATTTACAATCAAATTCAACCATTCCAGACTCCAACAATTTATATCATAATCAAGCAATTTTACTCGATTCTGTTACCAATTTGGATTCACAGATTCCTCTCGCAGTTGCGATGATCAACGCAGCTTTCTTCTTCAAATCATCGTTCAGAAACTGGTAACTTCCAGCAGATCCTACAATCACTGGTTACAATTTCTGGTTTCATTACCACATCGCTTAAGCAAAAATGCATCGATCAACAATTGAAATTAGTTTTACCAGAGAGAAGCAATATTTATCTTACTTCCAGGTCCGCCGACTCCGACGAAGACGTCGGGAAACGGTTTGGCGTAGACGACGACAAGCTTGAACGGAGGATTTACTGTTGAAGAGAAGAAGTGGTCGAGTGTCCATTCTAGAGCGTAGGTTGCGTATTCGCTGTCGTCGACTCCAATCACCATCACTGGCTTCTCCGCTGTCGCCATTGGAACGATTCCACAGCCGCCGTTGGTTTTTTCTTGGATGTATGAAGCGGTTTAAATCGGGAATGAAGACGGCTCCGTTTTTATAGGCGATCTATTGTCCACGTGGCTACTCTTGCGTCACCGGGAAAAATGAAGCAGAGTTTTACCTGTCATCCAATTATTGTGACACGTCGGTACACGTGGCTTCGAGTAGATTCCCTCAGTCCTTTAGTCTATAATCTAATTCAGTTAAATCAATAAAAAAATTTCATTTTATCTAAAAAAAAATATATCTACAAAATTAAAAAAAAAGAATTTTACAAATTCATTGTTGAATATTAAAAAATACTCGATATATAATCTCCTAATAAGACTTTGAACGGTATAAATATATTATTTATTTTCACGTGGTTGAGTGAATAGTTAACCAATGGTTTGATTTGAGAGTGACATTTGTAGCTGATTTAGCAAGTCTTGACCAAAGAGTGAGTTGAGAACATAATTACTCGTCTGTCTTAGTTTATATTCAATCATAAATGTAAAACAGACTTTACCTGTGAAAGATCGACATGTACATAATAATTATATTAATGGACACAACTTATCATACAGTGTATCAGAGTGTAACTCTAAACATATAGTCCAACGAATTAAATAATTTTGTTATCAATTAAATTTTTTTATAATGTTTAAATAAATATTGAAAATATATTTGATATATTAAATCTAAAAAGGAAAAAATATATTTAAATCGAATTAATATTTAATATATTATATATAAAATAAAATCTATATTTATTGTATTTGATGTATAAAATATTAAAAAAAAATAATATATGTAAAATTTATTAAATATCAATGAGATTCAATATTTGAATATGATTTATAATTAATTTTGGTAAAGAATATAATTAAGTTTTCTAGTTATGGTAAATTACATTTGCTAATAATTTTAATGGAATAAAAAAAGATAAGGATATATATATATATATATATATCATGTAATAAAATAATTATTTGTTTTATAAATATGGAATTTATTGCAAGAGAAAAGAGGAAAAAAAAATTAAGGAAAAAATATACATATCATGTAATAAAATAAAATATAGTAATTATTTGTTCTATAAATATGAGTTTATTGTAAGAGAAAAGGGGAAGAGAATAACAATGGCAGGCGACTGGACGATGATAAAGAGATTGGAAGACGCAGATATGAATGGGCTATTGCAACTGAGGGAAGATGATGAAGATGCTGACATCAGAGCTAATTTGTTTAACTGGTGGCCTCGGACCAAAGTTAGGGATTTGAAGAGAGTCGTTGGGAGTGAAGTGAGAATCATTCTGTACGACGTGAACATGGACCAAGCCATACAAACAACTATGAGATGGCTCGGGATGGCTCGATACCATATTGAATGGGACATCCAAAACAAACCTTATTCGTCTGGAGATGATATGTTAATGTTTTGGGATCTCAGGTATAATCGATTGGCTTACAAGATCATTCAAACATATTATCCAGAAATTAGTGACGCATGTTCGGGCACGTATTAAAAGAACGTCAATTTGCATAAACTATGTGTGTTTGAGAATTTTCTATTAGTATTATTATTATTATGCATTTTTCATTTTTTTAGTTGTTTTTTTATTTGTATTATTCGCTACTCTGATTATTTATTTATCTTCGTTTTTTCATTATTATTTATATTTATTAATGTCTTTCTTCTTTATCCTTCCTATAAATTATTTATTTGAAAATAATTATTAATATTGACCACTAAAAATATTTATAATATACTTTTTAATGAATGAAAATTAAATCAATTAGTTTAATAATTTGACTTAATAAAAATGAATTAACTAACAATTAATTATCTAATAATAAAGGGTTAAAAGTAATAGTTACAACTAAAAAAATTATTTATTTATATAACATTTCATCTCTTAATTTTAATTTATTTAATTATTTTACAAATTATTATATTAATTATTTAATTGTAATAAATTGGTTGAAGCTCTTCTCATTTATTTTATGTCCGGAGCTATTTAAACCGGGGCAAACGGCGTCGTTTTATTGGAGATCTACTGCCCACCTGGCCAACAGAAGTAAAGTTTTACGTGTCACATTCTGCCACGTTTGTAAACGTGGCTTCCATGAGTCTCTTTTTAAAACTATAAAAAAGTAATTTAAATAAAAATTATAATATTAATAAAAAATATTTTGAGTAGGAAATTTGAGATTAAGACGAGCTTGAACATGCGCCCTTAAATTCGGGAGATTTTGTTGCTGGTTGCGAGTCGATTATATTTGAGATCCCAAAGTATTAACATATTCTATCCAGATGCATAAGGTTTGTTTTGGACGTCCCATTTGATATAGTAAAAGACTGTCCCAAGCTACTTTATAGTTGTTTGCATGACTTGGTTTGTGTTCTCATCGAACATAGTGATATTCGCTTTATTTTCGACCGTTCTTTTTAGATCTCGAACTTCTCTTACCGTAAATTCAATATTTATAGAACAAAAAATTACTATATTTAATTTGATTGCATGATATATATTTTTCATTCTATTTATTATTATTAACATATATGATTTACCATGTTAACATGCGTTAGTTCCAAGATACTCGCGAGTAAATCTAATGAGAATTTACACCAAACAAACAATTTAATGAAAACTTTTGAAAAAATTAAATAATATATTTATATTCATATAT